AAGATTTTCATAGATTTATCGATCTACACTATTTTTTAAGCTTTAAACTTTAAAAATATATTTATAAAATAAAAATTTCCAATATTGAAACCACATTTCTCTATACTATTGAAAGTAGGCTCTAATTTGATTGTTTAGAGCCTAGGCTTTATACAAACCACACTTTTTTCTTTTTGATAAAACAATAATAATATTGGAGTTTGACGTGGGATAAAAAAGTTTTGATGGTAAGGTGTTTGGAAGTTCAATTCACGTTGAAGTCCTTAAAAATTTGGGTCCGAAAATCCATCTCATTTTTTAAGAGGGGACTCATTTCTACATGGCCCCGTAGAAACCGTATCAAAAATATTTTAGTGGGGTCTCGGTAGGTTTTGACTGTTCTAGAGAGAAAACAAATGACGGACTTTCAGAGAGAAAAAACAAACGACGAAGTTTGGAACCGACCTGTAACTCGTTTACAACAAACAAAAGATTCATACAAAATTTCAAATAAGTGAGGGATATATACAAAGACCAGCCGCAAATGCTTCCTCTGCTTATGTAACAGTACACGAATCTTGCTTCATAGGTGTCAAATTTTGACAAAGACGTGCAAAAAGAACGTTAATAAAGCAAATTTATTCAGAGTCATCTCTCCACCAAACTGTTGGCTGTCTTTCTCCAATTCAAAATTGGTTGAAAATGGGCATCTGGGTTCTGTTTTGACCAGCTGATAATAGCTTTTTCATGGTGGGAAAGCCCAAAAGTGGGATTAAATATATGACTTGGGCTTGAAGTTTGGCCTGGTTTTGGCCATGGGGGAGGTACATGTTTCGAACCCAGGTGTGGGTTTTGAGGGGCCATGTGTGGGGTTGAAGAATTTGGGGCGTAAGAGCCTTGAGGAATCAAAGGTGACTTGGTATATTGCCGGCCCTGCAATTTTAGCTACGGTTTTTCAGTTCTCGATCAGTATTGTAACAGTGGTCTTTGTGGGGAGGTTGGGGAGCACAGAGCTGGCTGCTGTTTCAATTGTTCAGAATGTGATTGAAGGTTTTGCGTTTGGGGTCATGGTAAGTCTTAACAACTTCCAGATTTTCATGTTCTTTTGTTGAGTTTTCATGTGTTGAATTTTTTTCATGCTTTCCCTGTTTTGTTCTAGTTGGTTGGGAATTCCTAGTTTTTTTTTTACATTGGGGTGCGATTTGTATAGTGCCGAAGCTCTATAAAACACAGCTTCAAATGGTATCGAGAAATGCGGTTTCAATGCTAGAAATCTTTGTGATAGCCCTAAATATATAGTTTCATCTTTTTATAATTTAGAGCTTCAAAAATAATGTAGATTGAGTAGATCTATGAAACTTTGAAAATTTTGAAAATTGACGGGCCTTACAAGATGTATTATTTCCAAAACTTGATGGTCATTTTTTTCTTATGTCCATACATTTCATATCGAGATGATGATACTTGAGCATCAAAACAACATTTTCTAGTGAAATTTTTGAGGTGGGCTATATATCAATTTGAGGATATTTGAGCATCAATTTGATTGTTTAGAGCCTCGGCTCTATATCAAGTTTTTCCATACATGGTTACTTTAATTTTTGGGTTGGGTCGAATTGGGTCCGGCTCCAGGTCCAGGTCCGAGATGGACGCGGACCCGACCCAATGCGTTGCCACCCCTAGTGCCTTGAGTGCTTCTGAATTACTTAGTAAAACTTTGTTTTGGCTTTACTAGTTGCTATTACGCAATCAGTGATTTTGCCAAGGATATATTAGTGAAGCTGATTGGCTTTTTGTAGAAAGCTCAACCTTTTTTTATGGGACTGTGGAGACTAGTACAATAAATGAATTCATGGTTTCGTTGCCATTCTGTGAAACCCCATTAGAGGTTAATAAAGTTTCCGGGCAAGCGGTTGCTTTTCCACTTCATTTCTCCCTGGTTTTCTTACTTGATGCTAGAGTAATTCTCAATTATTAAATCTATAGTCAACTGATATGAAAGCATCATACTTGAAAATAATTGAAAGATTAAAGAGTCTGGCATATGATTCATTCGGAGGGTGTCAAATTAAACTAACCCATTTTGAATGAATTTATGCCTTCTAATGGAAATTCTACCCCAAATATATTCTCTTATTCAGGCCAGTAATCTCATACTCAAAATCGAATTCTATCAGCGAAATATACGAAAAAAGAAATCATTCAAACTCAAAATGGGTCATATTTAAATAAGGTAATGGCATTTGGGTTGCACAAAGATGTTAATTAAATTTCATATAGAAGAGGGAAAGCAAAAGATGAATGGTAAAAAGTCTGTGTTTGGGATTTCTTCAGCTACAAAGTCTGTATTTAAGGTTGCCTCTAAGAAATGAGGTATATATCCAAGGGGCTGGGGTTGTGGAGGTACCTCCTCCAGACCCTAGTCACCATGTTGTGATTTTCATTCCCATTGACACCACCCCACTAACACTTTCAAAAAACTAATGCCTAAACTATTTGGAAAATGGCCTGTCTTCCTCACTGAATTACCGAAAAAAACAAGAAGTCCTTTGAGATCACCTACACCTGATTATTTGCAATTAGGTACCAGATGCATATAAATGGATTTGTATTGATTCCTACCTCTAAAAGGAAGCATTATATAGAATAACAGAACCATGAACTTTACTGAATATGTAACGTGTCATGAATCAAAAGTAGAAATGCAACACACACACAATTAAAGACATTACTTTTCAAAACATAACACTAGACCAAAATAACTAGTTCATTGTTTGGCAACACTCCCTCTGGACAATAGTCACACCATGAAATCTTGCTCTCTGTGTTTTTTTTTTTAATCATTATATTGCACTTAGAGACGTTGTCGCTTAGTTATATGAAAGATTGTAGTCGTCTCTGTATTATTCTTAAAAAAATTGGTGCTAAGATACATGCAAGATTTGTTGCTCTTTCATTCTCCATTAACATGTTTCTTTCCCATGCAGCTAGGGATGGGAAGTGCACTTGAGACTCTCTGTGGACAAGCAGTGGGAGCAGGGCAATTCCATATGCTAGGAATATATATGCAGAGATCATGGATCATAACATGCGTAACTGCCATGGTCCTATCACCGCTTTATGTTTTCTCTTCCCCAATTTTGAAGTTATTTCACCAGTCTGACGAAATAGCACAAATGTCAGGAAAGTATTCGATATGGGTTATCCCCCAACTTTTTGCCTATGCAATAAATTTTCCATTACAGAAGTTCCTCCAGTCTCAGAGCAAAGTCATGGTATTGACAGCAATATCTGGAGTGACTCTCATGGTGCACGTATTACTGAATTGGGTTTTTGTGACAAAATTAAATTATGGGTTGACTGGAGCAGCAGTAGTTGGAAATATTTCATGGTGGATTATAAACTTGGCTCAAATTATCTATCTTGTATCAGGGTTTTTCCCTGAATCCTGGACTGGGCTGTCTTGGTTGGCTTTCCATTCTCTTTTTGCATTTGTGAAGCTCTCTCTTGCATCAGCCATTATGCTATGGTCAGTATCTTTTTTCACAATCATGAAACTTTTTGACTGGGTTATTACAAAACCAAAACCATTGTTTCTTAATTTAATGAAAATTTTTATGTGTTACTTATAGAATCTTTGGTGACAGCTTGGAGCTATGGTATTTTACTGCAATTATACTTTTAGTTGGCGGCTTACATAATGCGGAAATTGCAATTGACGCAATCTCGATATGGTAAGATATTGCTCCTCTACATTCCTCGTCTTTCTCAAATGAGTTTAGCCAAAGATGATGAGAATCATTTTAGATTAATCTGGCGAACCAACTTGGGAAATTTGATCAAACCAACCATCTGGGAACACAAAGTAAATTGCTAATCTAACTGCTTGTTGGGTGTACAAATAACAACAAAATCCTGTGTAGAAGTCCAGAACTTATCTCTCTTCTCCATCAACTTTTTGGGATGGTATTCTACCCTTTGTTTCCTTTGATGACTTTAGCTATTAGTGGATCTTGATTTCGGTCCATATATAGCCTCTTTCAATTTTTGATCTATTATTGACAGCATGAATTTGGAATTGTGGACATTGATGGTGGCTTTGGGGTTCAATGCAGCTGTCAGGTTGGTTGTTTCCTTTTGCTCTTCAAGCATTCAATGTCTTGACAGCATTTATTATCGTTTTCTTTTTTTTGTCTCTCTATATGATTCGACTGGGAAGAAGAAATAACTCATGTTGATCTCTTCCTCCTATATGCAGTGTGAGGGTCTCTAATGAACTCGGAGCTGGTCGCCCAAAGGCTGCGAGGTTTTCAGTGATTGTAAATGTAACTACATCAGCTATGTTTGGGATCCTTTTCATGGTTATAATTTTGACCACAAAAAATGACTTCCCCAAGCTTTTCGCAACAGATCCCATGGTCATAAAAGCGACTTCTAAGCTTGGAACTCTTCTTGCTTTCACAATCTTCCTTAACAGCATTCAGCCAGTTCTTTCTGGTAATAAAACATTTTGGCTACCCTAGTTTCTTTATGTATTTTACTTTTCACGCACACGCACACACGCACGCACGCACTCACTAATTGGGTTTTGATGTATCATATGACAGTTTCGATTGCTATTTTTGCTTTGTTCTTTTCGACGAGTTAATTTATGTAGGATCTAATTTTTAAACTTGATTTTGTGTTGTTTGTGATGCAGGTGTTGCAGTTGGTGCAGGTTGGCAAACCCTCGTTGCATTTGTTAATGTTGGGTGCTACTACTTGTTTGGGCTGCCCATAGGGGCCCTACTAGGCTATAAGTTTAAGCTGGGTGTGAAGGTATGAGGTCGCCATATAACACTGATTTGGGTTTTAGGAAAATTTACAAAATGTAAATCGGTTGGCTTTGTTTTTTAATTGACATAATTCATATTCTTCTAACGGATGAAGTTTGTTGTAGAAAAGATAAATTGACTCCTTATTCCATTCTTATTATGCAGGGAATTTGGTCAGGAATGGTGGTTGGATGTGTCTTGCAAACATTGATTCTCATATTCATCACAATTCGAACAAATTGGGAGAAAGAGGTAATAGAATTTTCGCACCCCACATTCAACTGTCCTCAGAGAAACTATACCTGTTAATTATATGAGATTTTAGCCTTTGAAAGTGTAAACCATCCATAATTGATCTCGTTCTTGGCCTTACTTTATGCGTTGGTTTTGGTCTTCTAGGGCATGGCCTTTCCTTATAACTTCCTGCATTGGGAATTGTTTTGCTTGTTTTCTTGACATACGAGACTGAATCAAATGTTTGGTTGATTTGTTTCAGGCTTGTCAAGCAAAAGATCGCATCCGAACTTGGGGTGGAACTACGGGGCCCAGAGAAAGCTCTGGAAGTTGACATTTTTGTTCAATTGTATAGAACAGCTAGTTGAACTTCTACGTCCCACATTTGAATGTAAAATATAAATCGCTAGTACAATAACACAATAATCTGCATGCAACGTATTGGAGGCATTACTCAAAAGAGAGATTGATTTTGCAGAGGGTTTTCCAATTAACGTTTAACAGGAGCTCCACAATGCATCAATTGAAAACGGTATGTCCAATAGGAGAAATTTTCCTTATCATTATATACTCATTGTTTTTTGTGAGAAACCTTTTCAATGAATGAAACTTGAAACATGATGATCCTTCATTTGTTTCTCTAGCTTCTTTTTGCATTATGTTGGTACTGTTAAACATAACTTCAATCAATAATTGGAGAATGAGGCTTAAAATCACAATTATTCAATGGGAAAGTGGACCATGATCCTGAGGACAATGGAAAACCATAATCGTCACGAGCATCTTTTTACCCATTTTCTTTTTAGTCATCATTGGTTCATTGGTTCATTAATGTGATAGAGAGAATGTGGGTGCCATTCTTGCTTCATTGTGATCTATGTGGACAATGTTGACTATTCATAGTCCTCAGGATTCTAATACACACTATTGTCCAATTAGAAGCTCAAAACAGGGTTTTAGCCGTGTATTGATAATCAGACCATACAATATCGCAGAAACCATGGTCACTATATATAGCTGAAACTTTACAGAGAAAAGTTCCCTCCATACAATTTTAACACACAACTGAAGATGAGGAAGATGAAGTTGGGTATTCTAATCCGAGATTGTAATACCTGCTTAAGTGATCAACTGACCTTTTTTTCCTATTTACAAGGATTACTAGATATCCAACAGTGATGAACAAGAATAGATATTGTACATGTGCGTTCCTTTCGTTGTCATCTCAAGTACTCCTAACAAGTCTTCGTCTCTGCATATGGCTTGCTAGAGAGAAAAGGGCATGACCCAGATGGTTGGTGCCACTCTCTCTCCATCACCTTCCAGAATTATCTGCATATGCTTCTTCTTATGAGCTTACCTATCCACTTCAGGGAAAGTATACTACAATCCAATGCATATGGCTTCTTATTAGCTAGCTGTTCACATAAGGGATATTCTGGAATCCAGTTGACCGTTAATAAGCAAAGTCCATTATGCCATTATCATCCATTTAATTGATGGAAGGTGATCGAGCAAGATAGAACAGGGGTCACCTGATGGTCCGTCTGACTATCCATCCATCAACCTTCAGCATCTTGACAAGATAGCCAATTGGCTATCTAACTCTCTCCATCACTGTTCTACATATTTCAAATTGATGGTGATGAACTAATCAAGTATGGGTTTCTCATAGTCCATTTGACAGTAGCAGTTGAGCAAGAGCCCAACATGACAAACATGAAAATTGTTCAAATAAGCCAGATTCTTAATATCAAATAAGATTTCAGAGCAAATGAAAACATGAAAACTGTTCTAAGATTCTAGATTCTGAATATCAGAACAAGATTTCAAAGGCATACTCTTTAAAGATGCCACGAGTGATGGAGAGCGCAAGCGGGTGTCCTGAAGATTCATTAATCAGTCTGTACAGAAGTCTCATCAAAGATTTAATACATCAGTCTATAATAAAGCCTCATCCGTGTCTAGAAGAAGAGGGAAAGGAAAAGAAGAAAGAACGGCAAAAATGATGTGGGAAAATTTATTGTGATCCTCAGGACTGCATGGGATATGGTTCATGAGGTTCATGAGCATCCTGTAAAGGGGTTGGATGATGATGAGGACAGCTTGTTAGAATATGACATGCAATCGAGGGCTCCATCAATGCGTAACCCATGGTGATGACCTTCATGACCCCTTATTCTAAAAGTCATATGTATTCATGAGGATCACAGTATAGAGTCATCACATAAAATTGAGTTATAAAAGAAACGGTAACCATGGCATTGAATCTGTGTACTTGAATGTTCAGAAGCCATTAACGAACAGCTTTCCCAAGATGTTGAAAACTCAAGAGATATTCCACTTCTCTTTTTCAAAAAATTTCATATTGAAATAATGATCAGGTGAGAAGGTTGCCAACCTTTTCTATGGAGGCAAACTGATAACCAAGTCCAATCTCCAGATACAGGAAATGATCAAGTAAGAGACTTTCTCATGGAAAAATTTATCGGACACTCCTCAGCTATACCTCACTACGCAAATGCATGCCGAAGAGTACTACAACCCTCGATCAAATCCTTCCAATACGAACACAATTATAAAAATTATGTTCTCCTTTCAGGAATCCGGCTTGGGCTTCAGTAGTTGGCAGCTCCACATCTCAATTCCTGCCACTAAACTAATAGGCAACTTTTGTTTTCTGTTTTGTGTATCCTCGGATTGCTTGCTTTCAAGTTGCAGTTGCATCTCCTACAGGACAATTTTCCAATAGCATGTGCCTCAACATTTTTATGCTAGTGATTTGGGTAAAAATTGTTGACACTGAATCTTCTCAAAGAAATTTAAACCTTCCAAGCCTTCCTACTAATGAAAAAATATTTGGCTTTAATGTGTGCCAGTAAAAAATCTTTGAGATGATCAAGAATAGATATTAAAGCAGAAGTGTTTGAAAACCCAGATCTGCATCATCTGTTAATTTCAGTCAAATAGAGCCTGAATTTTTAGAAATTCATTTCCTGTGATGTAACATATCAGTTGCAAAAATGGGAAAGGGAAAGAACAAAATATGAAAAAGAAAAAATTACGGCCAAGGCTTAATGAAAACAAAACAAAATCTCATCTCAAATCCTTATCTGGAAAGTACTCTAGGTGATGGAAAATTCTAAGATGGCTTTAGACGTAATGGAAAATGGTCTGATACGGCTGTAACTCTATCACAATAAGTATAGCCTCACCTTATAACTCATGAAAAATTGCAATTCAAGCATTGAAAATTTTACATCGATCATCTTGGTTTGAATATTATGGTTATAGAAAAAATAGGATTTCAAGCTATAAAAATAATATATATGGTAACATTTTTTTTTTTAGCAACTAATTGTAACAAATTATTGAGTCAGTACATTTCAACCTAAAAATCAGTGTTTATAGATCCACAAGATCTGTACCACTTTTTGAGTTTCAAATTTTATTGTCCATGTTGGAAATTGATTTTAGAGCTATCATGAAGATTTCCGATACTCAAAGTGTTTTCGGATGAAGATTTGAGGTGAAGCTTTAATTTGTTTTCATTTAACCTAGGCCCTATAGAAACTTCATCCAAATTAATTTCTAACACCAACAATAAATTGAAAACTCAAAAAGTAGTACACTTGCGGATCTATGAATACTTATTTCTAAAGCAAAATGGATGGCCTAGATAATTTGCTACAATATACGCTATTTGCTACAATATACGCTATGTTTAGAGTGTGAAATCCTAATTTGTTTCTCAACCATAATGCTCAAGTTGAGACGATGGATGTAAAGGTTTTCCAATACTTAACTTACAATTTTCTATGAGTTAAGAGGTGAGGATTTAATTATTTTGATAGGACATCAACCCTGTCAAACTATTTTCCTTAAATAAATTTCCTTTGAACTAAACATACCGTCAAAGACGACTTTCTAAGGAAAATTTATTCCCAACTAATGTAAAAAGAGGGAGACATCAATTGATGGTTACATTTTAATCTTTGTTGTCCACGTTGTGGATGCTTTTCTTCACCGACCTCCCTTCCCCCTCCATTCTCTCTCTTTTCAACAACTCCTGAGAGAGAAAGTGGATTGACGAATTTGACTCTGCTATTCATGTCTTTTCTTTGGATAACTTTTCTCTAAACCAGTGTTTTGCATAATCGAATCAAAACGGTAACCGGACATGCGTCTAGAAGCTGTTTAACCGATTTAATCGGTAAACAGGTTGATTCAACCGCTCTAATTGGGCAAATCTTGGGCTGTCAAAAAAAAATTAAAAAAATACAAAAAATACAAAAAAAATCTACTAAAATATAAAAAAGGATATAAAAATGATTAAAACAAAACACATTCAAATAAAGTTCAAAATTAATAAACAATAAATTTTAACGAATTGATATGTGCTCAGAGGTTTTTTAAAAATTTTATAAAAAAGATGGGAAAATATAAAGTAAGTATTAATGACCAAAACAATTTTTAATCTTTACCGTAAGGTAAAAAATATTAAAAAAAGCATTACAAATCAAATTCTTTAATTTTTAGAATTTATATATATTTTTTAGAATTTATTTTTAGACACCGGTTGATCATTAAAATTGCCCAAAACTAGAACCAGCCAGCTCCGATCTAATCGGGTGGTTATCGGCTAGATCACCCTGTTTTTCCACTAGTGCCCTGAACAATCCTTGTCAATAAAGTGATCTTCCATATTTAAATATGAAATTTTTTTTTATAGAGCCGAGGTTCTAAACAATCATATTAGAGTCCACCTCAAAAGTTTCACTAGAAGATGTTGTTTTGATGCCCAAATATCCTCAAATTAATTATCTTGACATCAAGATGCATGGACATGAGAAAAAAAATATATTCAAGTTTTCGAAATAATACATCTTGTAACACATTTTTTAGCCGTCAATTTTCAAGATTATATCAAATTTTCATATATCTGCTCCATCTACACTATTTTTTAAGCTTTAAATTTTATAATTAAAGAGAAAAATATATTTTAAGGCTATCACAAAGATTTTCAACATTAAAACCACATTTCTTGACACTATTTGAAGTTGTGCTTTACTTTGATTGTTTAGAGCCTCGGCTCTATAAAAACCGCACCCTTTAAATATGGCACAAGTTTTTATAGAGGAGAGGCTCTAAACAATCAAATAAGAACCTACCTAAAAAATTTCACTAGAATAGGTTGTTTTGATGTCTAAATATTGTAAAATTGATCATCTCGACATCAAGATGGATGGACATGAGGAAAAAATTGATTTCAAGTTTTGGAAATAGTGTATTTTGTTACATATTTTTGGATCGTCAATTTTTAAGTTTTCATAGATCTATCAATCTATACTATTTTTGAAGCTTTAA